GAGTTTATAGATATTAAGCTTTGAGCTACTTAACTTTCGGTGCCTACGTTATGTATGGGGGAGATATTGATCCAGGGCGTCAAATAAAAAACTCCTAGATTGCGGCCATTGGAGTTTGAAGCAAAGATATTGTTTTCTGGAGAGACATAGTGGATAAAAAAATTGTTTATGAAGGAAATAACTCTGAGTGACTAGTTCATGGGGGTACCAGTAAATGTCAGACTTTGGAACCACGCACATGGCGTGAGGAAGTGCGGGCGGCAAACGCCAAGAATGTGGTGGACGGACGAATCGCAAGGCGAGGTGAGGCCGAGTAAGGCTGCTAGTGAGTCTGTTAGTGGTAAAGCTACAGCTGCTCTGCTAATTAGCACGACTCATAGCTCTGCCGATCGCTCCCGGATCGAGATAATCAGTAGACCACCTCAAATGGGAAAGGTGAGGGTTTTGATAAGGGCTGTGTAGCTCGAAAATAGATTATCTCGAGAGATAGAGACCCAAGCGCAGGGTGGAATAATTGGTGAATTCCCACACGTGTGGTTTTGGGGGGTGTGGGAACTAGTAACCTTGCCAGCAAAAAGCAAGGTGGATGAGGGGAGAAGGAGGATCGGCAGCAGGGTGATATCATTGAAGTCGGTTAACCACCAGTCACGGGACTGCGCATGATGGTCGCGTCTTTGGGTCTTGGTTCCAAGGTTCCGTTTGTTTACTCGTTCGCGACCCATGGACAACATACTACCTTATCTGTAGGTTTTGTATATGCAAGCAAGTAGTGCTGACGTCTAGACACGGCATAGACTTTCTGAAACAAGAGTCATGACATCGGGCGCGGGGACAAGGAAGAAAAAACTGGAAGATGTAAGACATCCTTTCTCTTCCCCCCCCCCACCTCATGTGACATCACCATCTACCCACTTTTTCTTCTTTTGAAGGCGAGCAATATTTAGTAACAAGTTGCAAGGACGGATTTCCGTACACAATGGAGAAAGACCGAGTAAAGTTGCAGGGAGACAAGGTAGCACGAGCGCTAAAAGCGCCCCGATGGGCCAATGAAAGAGACTAAGGCAGGGTTAACCCCGCAGAGGGATGCGGGCCAAGGCTCCAAGGCTCTGACGCGACGGCCAGACCGAAACAACTGGTGAGGTGACGATGATGCCTTAGTCCGGACCTCGGAGTTGTCTGGATTGGTTGTCAGATTGCAATCAATGCAATGCGCAGCACTTGGTCCTGTCACGGCGGCTACGATGGATGGATCTTAATCCTGGCCTTCTCACTCGTTACCACCGCTGCCACTCAAGAGATCGGAGGGCCCGAGATACGATGATAGTCGCCACTAGTCCCTCCGTGGTTGCCGACCGCGAGAGCTCAGCTGAATGTCAAGCGACGCCTAAAAGCTTACAAATGTCGCGATCGGGCCAATGCGCAATTGCGATCGCACAAACTAAGAGATTTAATTTGAGTCTGTCGCGAAATCAATATTATTGTCATGGGGTCCATCGCGATCCGGGCGCCTCAAGCGACCCTATGAGCCTCAAGATAACGATCTATTTCCGACTCACGGTGTAATATTCGCTCAAGTCGGGTCCTTTCTGCTCCGCGCCCGCTCCGACATGGACCGGGATAAACATTGGCGCCAACCAGTGTCTCAAGAGGTGAGGGGCTGCGGCGTAATGGGGTAGCAGTCCATTGCGAGGCTCAACGCAGGCAAGGTAACAATCATTTGTTTGACGTTCCCCATTTGTGGCGGTGTAGGAGCTAGGAGTTAGTGAGATTATTAGATAGTTCAAGTTCCATCGTTAGTTGGTTGTGGCAGCGTCTTCAACTGGCCGATAGGATCATTCCGTGCGCCGCGGCGGATTGCTCAGCACGTGTGGGCTCTAGACCGATAATGCACGATCGAGGAAAGCCGATCCATCAGGGCGGGGACCTCCAAAACCTTGAGCATCGCCCATAATAAATGAACCGATTTGATTAGCGAGTGCCATTGGTGACGTCGTCAACTGGGGGGGGACTAGTTGCGATATGTTCCCCACATACACCGCTGGGGGAAGGTAGTAAAGGAAAGAGAAAGTCAAAAGGTCCCAGGAAAAAAAAGGCAATCCCTTTGACAAATCGCATCAACTGACAATGAGGAATCAATAGCAACATTCGCAAAGTTACTTGCGGTATGAGGGGAAGACAAGAATAGGAACGAGACAAGGATGGCTCTAGTAGGAAGGGATGAAGATATCCCTTGGCAAAACTAGCAAGAATGCTGAAGCCGCCCCCAATCGAGACTATAGTGATCCGAAGTACAGTGACTCCCCAAGTAAGGACACACTATATCTTCTATTGTATGACGACCACACTACGGGAGGACTGTGCACTTGGAGATTGATCAATATCCCTCGTGTTAAGATATCAATTCATTGAGAGCTACGGTTGCCCTCCCTCCTTTTCGGGTAAGAGACTCATTCGAAGCGACGATCCGTCACCATGCCCGAAGCTCAAATAGTCCTGCACGATTGGTATGTAGATCGTCGGATATCCTCAGAGTCATCTGCAAGTCAAGATATCTTCAATGGGTATCACTGCCCTATGTGGCGATTTCCTTGGCATGCTGGACGGGAGGGCGGTTCGTAAAGGCATTCCCTCATTAGGTCCATCCGGCCATCTCGCTGGATTTCGGTTGCGCATTGGAAATAATGGAGATGTTACCGACACTGTCCTCTGTACTATCTTCGTCCCCACAGGCCCTATAACGAGAAGTTGATGTAGGGTATATGCATATAGGGTTTGATGGGGAACTAGTGAGTTCGGAGATTTACGTCTCTGGAGCTGGACAGGATTAACCATACTATTGGATTGACTACTGAGAGGCTACAGGCACTTCACAACTGACAGCTTACCATTTGGGAAATCCAATCTGACCTGGAATTTCCGTTCCTGAGACGCAGACCTCCGGACAAGCTCTTTTTTCCGACGGAGTGGAGCGAGTGGAGATTTTATTAGATTCGATCTGTCTTTTCTGGGATTCTTTGGGAACTGAAATTACTGGGACCCTAAAAAAAAAGGAAGGAAAATGGACCGGCACAAACGGATAGACTAAGATAAATTTTATTATGGGCCTATTACCTTTTTTTCTTCTTCTTTTTCAGTTTTATTTGCTCTCATTTTTCTTAATATTGAACCGTTCGTGACCCTTTTCTCCGACTAAGACGGAAACTCAATGGTGAAACTGTATGAGACTGCCTAGCGTATGTTAGGAGCTTAAAGAAAGACAAGAAGGAAGAGAGCCTCCTCTTGGACTCGGAGACCTTTCATGAGGAAATAGTACAATGCACAGTCCGAGAAATATCGTTCTTGCTCGATAAAAATAAGAAACCGTTACTACAGCAAATGGCGGTTGTCCCACTCCTAGTACATGAAACCTGTCAAAAAGAATGTGCGGTACCGGGTGAATTGTCAGAAAGAGAAAAAAGGAATAAAAAAAAAAAAAAAAAAAAAAAAAGGAGGGACCCAATATTTAGTAAAAGAAAAGGAAAAAGAAGAAAGAAAAATCCTTCGGTAGCCCGTGAGACAGGCACGATCATGCCTCAGCCAGCCAGGGAAGATTTGGTACAGTCGCAGCGGGTAGAGCAGTAAGGACGCTGATAGGCGAAGGGTTGCTGAGCAGCCGCTAGCGTTACTGATGGCGGCAAGGGAGTCCCGGCAACGAGGGGGGCCCAGAGCCCTAGACGCTGGCTAGTCCTCGCCGTACGGGTACCTACCTCTCTGACTTACATACTGTACGTATAGTATGTATGATACCCGTATTAGACCTATGATGTATGTACTCTGTAGGTACTGCGGACCACCGAAACCCACCGGGAAGCTACCTGTGAGGTACATACGTCGTTATGCTGTCAGGCTTGATATTTGCTGATTTTGGAATTACTGTTTCAGCAAACGGTTGTAAAGAACTTAATTCCCTTGAAGAACAGAAAGAAAGGGTTTTCAATTGAGAGCATTACTAAAGTATAGTAAGGACTTGCACTGCGATATCCCTTTGGCAGTGACTTTTGGAATTTTAATTTTGGGATTTTTTTTTTTTTTTTGAACCCATTCTTTTGCCTGTCCGCAGGGCGATAAGACGAAGGGCGGGTGAAGATTCCAAACCGGTTCGACACAGGTTTCTGACGCCGATGAACCAAACCAGCCTAGTCCCGTCTAGTACCAGAAGCTAACCTGTCGTCGCTTAAGCTCTTTCTGAGCATCTGGAGATCCATCCCCACTTTTGCGTTGCCATTGCAACAAGATCATCCCTTCAGCTTCACTTTCTCCTCTTTTTTTCACTTCTTCTCTTTCTTTTCTCTGGGTCTTCTGAACATCTGTCCGTTCTTCTTTTAAGACTAGGACTGTTCCTCATTTCCCATGCTTCATTTCTCGAGCTATCCTCAGGCCCAGTCCCGTGTTCCAATCTCCGACAAACCCTCTGCTTCGGTAAGTTTCCTCCAATGCATTAGCGTACCGATTCTCCTCCCCTAAGATGCCTGCCGGTTGCTGATGTCAGTACTTAGAATGCTAACCTAGTCTCCGTGGTTCATTAGCCCCTCGCCCTTTTCTCCCCATCTTCAAGTCTTGGTCCAACATTGACGCTCCGGGTTACTTTTGTTCGATTAGTCGGCCAGCCATGTCGCTCTAGACGCACGGCTTCGTCACGAGGAAGTGCTGCTACATGCTGGATAGCTGAGGGATTCTGAGGCCGTTCTTCAACCATTCGATTAGTGAAGTCTGGGTTCAACACTCCGCAATTTGGCAACAGAAACATACGAGAGCTGGGTGGTTACCATTCCGACAGAGACGCCTCCATCTATCGTGTAGTATATGCCGGGTAGATAGTATACGGCATAACTGTCTTCTACTTTCTGTTCTTTGCCAGCTCTGCCTTTTTTTTTTTTTTATTTTTTTTTCTTCCGAACCAATTCGACTGCGGCGTTCTTGCGGGTTTGAGGCATTAGGGAAGAAACAAGCATTCTGCAAAAATGGAACACTCGTCCCCGTTGGCTGCTATGCAGCCCCCATCGGTGCTCTTCGGGCATTGTTTTCGCTCGGATGCAAGGACATCCTACCCTGCGTTTGGTGTCAATTCAAACAGTTTCAACTTCAAAGATTTATCTATGAAAAAAGCCCATGGTGCCGATTACTTTAATGTAAAAGGCACATCTCCTACCGCGAGCCTCGCGGCCGATCTATCTCAAAACTTCCATATTGATCAGAGGTACGTCCACTCCTTTGTGCTCCTTGTCGTTGGGGTATTGCGCGTTCAAAGGAACCCACTGACCAAATATAGTCCCCAAGTGGCTACTCCACGACGGTCTTTGTTCTCCTCTAACCTTTTTGGGAATGGTAACAGACGTGGTAAGAGTTGATGTGTTATAGTGCATGAAGGACTGGGAATGCTCATCAAGTTTATAGAGGAAGCGATGAGGACACCTCCACTGTCTTCCTCCCCTGCAATGGATATCATGGAAATGTCGCCGTTACCGCACAAACCTCCATTCAACACTTTGGAAGCTGAACTCCGCACTCCTACAATCGAGATTTCCTCTATGGACACGCCCATGAGATCTAATACTGCCAGCCCTCTACTGGACTCGCCTTTGGTTGGGCAAAAAGAAGGCCACCATGAGTAAGAACCAGAGAGTCAAAGAATGACGTGTATATGGGTCTGACAATACTATTTGCTTATAGAAGGAGACGTCCAACCTTTCTTCGCCCCAGCCTAGCCAGGAGCAAAGCGCAGTCCTTTCAATTGGGTATGGTTAAGCCCGCACCGGAGAGCCAAGCACCGCCGTTTAAATTCCAAAGCAAGGGAACCAAGACGTCGCTAAGCACATCGGCTTCGTTGGAGGATATGTTTAATGAATCACCACCTCGTGAACGGTCATCGCTGAGAAATCATTCGTCCCATGGCTTGGTCAACCCGCGGCTGAGACCCCCATTTGGCCGAGAGACGAGCCATGTCCGTGGAAATGGATCTCCGTCGGCAGCATCCATTCGCAAAAACTCGCACCCCATGATGCGCCCTCGTAAACAGTGCCGACGTTCGTTGAGCATGTTTGAGAACCCCGAGGATGTAATGGTCGAAAAAGAGGCTTCTTTTACATCAAATGCACCACTTCAGTCCGTCTGTGACATCGAAGGAACCCCCAGCCTACAATTGCCTCACTTTTTGCCTGAGGACCAGGCTGATACATTGCCTCGCATCGACAAGAGCATTCTCGTGGAACTCATGGATGGAAAATACAACGACCGTTTCGACAATGTCATGATTATTGACTGTCGGTTCGAGTACGAATATGAAGGTGGTCACATCACTGGCGCTGTGAACTACAACGACAAGGATAATCTTGCCGCGGAGCTCTTCGCCAGCCCTAAACCAAGAACGGCATTGGTTTTGCACTGCGAGTATTCCGCACACCGGGCTCCCATTATGGCCAAATACATTCGCCATCAGGATCGTGCTTTTAACGTGGATCACTATCCACATCTTACCTACCCGGATATGTACATTCTGGACGGGGGCTATAGTAGCTTCTTCTCCGACCATCGGACACTGTGCTTTCCCCAGAACTACGTCGAAATGTCTGCCAAGGAACATGAGTTTGCCTGCGAGCGTGGCCTTGGGAAGGTCAAGCAGAGGTCTAAGTTGAGCCGCGCTCAAACCTTTGCCTTCGGTCAATCTCCCCAAATGGAAGATAGCCCTACTGGGAGGTGTCGCAACGGCCTTGGAGACCGTAACCGACTATTAGGTTCTCCATTTGCCGCAAGCCCCGTCTCCGCTCGCTTCTCCGGCCGCCGCATGCTTTCCTACTGACAGCCCCCATGAATCGTCCGATTCCATTTTCAGAGCCAGCCCTCGATATTATGAAACTATCGAGGGTTGTGCTAAGTTTTTACTGCATTCCGTTGCACCGCAATATTTCACATATATCCAGAGACCCTGGTTTTGGTTCACTGTCTTACCCACTCGCTGGTCTTTCGAGAATATTGAGTTGCACCATGGGACTTGGAGAATTTGGTCGCTGTTGACCTAGCGCCTGACCACTCCAGTTTCCTTTCCGTTCGTTTAAATACTTTCGGTTTCTTTCTCTTCGCCCGGTTAATAGAGCTTCAGCATTTTGCATTGATGACACAGCAACTTTTGACTCTACCATTTTATTGATCTGCTGTGCACCTCTTGCCAGCCGGCACTTTTGTTAACGTTTAGCGGATCCGATTCTTTCCTTGATTTCTGACCATTGGCCCTACACTTATTTCCTATGTCTTGAACGATTTTCCTACATTATTCGCCCTTCCACTTTGCATTGGGCCTGATCGCTATGATACCACGCCACCACCTGGCAGTTCCTCTTCTTGGATCTTTCCTTATTTTCTCCTTACTGTCTTTTAATCCTCCCTCCCTATGCTCTTGTATAACAAGCGAGGGAGCGACTCAACTCCTCGCCGTACAATGTACATATTGATGTACGGCTCGTCAGAAGGGCGATAATTCCCATGCATGGCAGCGACCCCAAAAGCGATCGCCCTGAGTGGGCAGATCTAATAGCTTTGGGAGTGTCGATGCAGCTGTACATACACAAAACTCCCGCGTCGGTGAACTGACATCTAATGGGAAGGCCGGGGGATTAAGAATTAAAAGATAATTTCCTTTGTTGGAATTGAATGAAATGACTTGAAGAATTCGCTTGCATGCTCGAGTAATTTTAATGGATATCACATCACGTAGTGTACGGTGTAATGTAGTTAGTTATGCGCATCCACTTTATATACTTGCGGGGAGTAGCCTGAGGCAACCTTAATTTTAGTCTCCGCCGCCTCCTTCGATTCCGCTCCGCTTCCCACATTTTATTCCACTCCGTCGAGCTCTCTTCCGCCCCAATGCTACGCGGCGCTTAATGAATTGTACCCCCCCGCCATGGATATCGACGACATCCTTGCCTCCGTTGACCGCAACGATGTTTCGTCCCCCGAATCCGCCCAACTGGACCACCAGCTGCTCACGCGCTTCTGGGTCGCCGAGCGCGGCGTGTCGGAGCTACTCCCATGGCCGGAGGCCCTGATGAACCGAATGATGGAGCGAGTCCGCAAGCAGGTAGGCCAACCAACAACCTCCAACCCCCAATCTCCCAGCCCATTCTAACCCAACCTCATAACCCATACAGATCGAAACAATCGAAGACCTAGCCGCCGCATCCTCCTCAGACCCCACCACCACCACCACCAATAACAACAGCAACCCAACCCTAAACCTCAAACTCTCCATCCTCCAAACCGACCTCTCCCGAACCCAATACCTCCTCCGCTCCATCCTCCGCCAACGCCTCTCGAAACTCACAAAACACAGCATGCACTACCTCCTCCGCATCAGCTCCGCCTCCCAGCAACAAACCCCGGCCGACTCCCAACCCACCGACCACCAGCAGCCCGAAGACTCCATCCCCGACCTAACCGCCGTGCAGGACCCCTCGCCGCTGTCGACACAGGAGCTGGGCTTCTTGCGCGCGCACCAGACGCTGCTGGCGGGGCACTTCGGGGCGTCGTTTTTGGGCTCCTTTCCCGCGCAGCTGAGACGGCTGGATGATAATGCTGGCGGCGTGAGTATGGTGCAGGGCCCGGATGCCAGGGAGGTCGTTCTCGTGAGGTGTCTGGTCGAGAGGGTCGGCGTTGTTGTGCCGCCGGGCGATGGCGTCGAGGTTGAGACTGTGGGCGAGGAGATGCGCATGGGCGATGTTTGGGTCGTGAGGTGGGAGGGGGTTAGGGAGGCTTGGGAGCGGGGGGAGGTGGAGGTTCTTTGATCTTTCTTTCTCTGATCTTTCTGCTTTGGTTGTGATGGTGGTTGTTGGTGGTGGTGGTGGAATGCATGTATATATGTTGCTGATGCATCGTGGCGTTTGGGGTTGGTCACTTGTGATACCTGATTTTTCTTGTTGCATTTCGGATATAGAATGTATGTATGTGGTGCTTGTTTATGTTTATGGGGTATGTTTAGGTTGAACTTGGCTTTGATGTCGTGTTCCGTAACTGATGGTGTCACTATACAATACATCGCTCAGCTCAGCCTGGAGCGTCGTTCTTCATAACCCTATTCTAGTAATTCGATATTCTCCGAGGATGCAGTAGAAGTAAAAAACGCCACACGATCTATAGCATGAACAATATCCGCCGTTGCGCCTGACCGCTAAGCCCAAATCACTGTCCATGCACAAATAACAACGCCCAAGAAAGGAATAAAGGAATTGGCACGCAATTGACCAGAAGGAGTCATTCTGTGTAGTAAACGAAGTGGCTGAGGAAATTCTTAAGCGACGTATCCATATGTGGGCGGGTCTTCTCCTACTCGTTCGAGATACTCGCGGTCGATCAAGCTCTCGATACGCCGCTTGATCATGTTCACGTCTGGAACGAAACGAGCGGACAGCTGGCTTAGGACCTCGCTCATGAGCTTGGAGTGGACCAGTGTCTTTCGTTGTCTAGATGGTGGGGGGCGTAGTTAGCTTCTGTTATTGGATGTATGCATTGGGCTTACTTACTTCATGATTCGCACGACTGCAGCTTCGATGCTGGCGCCGCGCTCATCGTTCATTCGCTTCTCAGTTTCCTTTCTTTGGTCTTGGTTCTCTACCTTGTTGGCGCTGCCGCTGACAACACCGATGCGGACTTTCATGAACGGACTCTGGAAGTCGTTGTTGAAGACGAATCGGTCGGTAGGTTTGACGTCCTTGCTCATGGGATCCTTCTTCAGGACCCGTGTCTTTGGCGCAACTGCAAGCGACTGCAGGTTGCGAATTAGATCATGGTCTGGGATCCTTGTCCGGGCCTGAATCTCCTCATATGAGAGAGACTCGCCCTGGGGAACGTCGTTGAAGAGCAGCAGGATTACCATGGCATATGTGGAGACATTAAGCTCATGTCGCTGGACCTTGCCATTGGACCTGTGGAACGTGGCCCGGATATCTGCCGTGCCCATACTAGCCTGCCATGACAGCTTCCGGCCATTATGCTTGCTAAGATAGAACTGTTCGAAGCTTTGTCTCAGGTTGTCGATTTCCTTGGGGAAAATGCAAGAAAGCTTAACTTCTTCACCTTTAATACTTGACATGGCCTCCATGGGCCACATAGTACTCGTCAGGACGTTGATTTCTAAATCAACGGGTTTCTGGTCGGGATCACCTGCCCGCCGAATATGTTCCTTGTAGCTAGCAGTCAAGTCCTCAGAGACCGTCATGTCCTTGAACATGGATTCAAGGCGTTGTGTGAACTGGTTTCCAACCTCCATCTTCATCTTGGATATCATCTGTCGCTCCGCATCCATGCTAACTGAGCGCTTCATCAGAAGACGCCGGGATAGGTGCTTCTTGTAGTACGCCTCAAAGAGATCCTTGTCCTTCACATAGCGTAGAAGGGTAATGCCGTTGTCCAAAAGAGCGTCCACTTCAGTCTCCGTTTTGCCTTTAATGCCCTTTTTCAAGTTCTCATCAAAGAAGAGCGACAGATACTCTGAGCTGCGCGTGTTTGAGTTGATAAACTCTGAGAAACTCGTCGTGATGGCGCTTTGCATCGTTGGGTCGGACCGGAATGATTGTTCCCAGATCTTGTCGAACTTGGTCTTCAACCCTAAGACATCATCGACCCACTTGATAGCGGACACTGTCTGCAGGTTCACAGGCTTCTCTGCAGGTTTCTTTCCACCCTCGGCGGTCTTTTCTGCCGATTTTGTGGGTTGAGCCTGTGCTGCTGCGATTGCCGACTTATTGATCTCATCACCCATCTCCACTATGCGCTTTTGGACGGCAACAGTTAAAGGAGTCTTCTTACTGTCCACCCTTGCGCTCAGTAGATAGACATTTCGTAGAACATCCATGCGGTCATGGTCGAGCATATTCTTGACACCAGTGCCCTCCAGGTTGATAACTTCCGCAATGTTTGAGCCGATCAGCTCTTTATCTAGTACGTCTTTAATCTTCGGCTCCGACAGTGGTGACAGTGTAGAGAGACAGCGCGCCCCTTCTTCCGCTATGCGGTCGGAGGCAGCTTTGCAGAATGTAGCAGCGTCTCCCGTCTCCAGCAGCCGCCGTCCTTCTGCTCTGTAGAAGACTTTACTCGTCTCAAGGAATGCCGGCTCGAACATAGTTAGGTAAAGCTTCGATGATTCCTCTTCAGTAATAGTTTCGTAGAGACCCTCCAGCATATAAATGCAATGCCGAATCAACGGCCGGTTTATCATTTGCCCTGACCGTTCCAGCTGGATCATAAAGAGCACAGTAGACTTGAGCACATTTGCGACCGTCGACTCTGAATCTGCACGGACCACAGATCGTAGCACAAAGTCACGAAATAAAGCCATGGATGCGACGTATATCGAAGGCTTCTTATGGTCTGCCGAAACGACTCGATCCTAGAACAACCCGGTCAGCTTTGATCTGTCAGACACATCAGCACGCGGCCATACCATGTACATGAGAACATCTGTAATCATTCCCATGGAGATCTGGTGGTCCTCCCAGGCTTCCCGTAAGACATCTAGAAACTTCTCTCCGGTATCCCTCCGCTCATTTTCCAGATCCTGAATTTCGCATTGGTCCTTCCCCTGAAGTAGAACCGATGAGATTGCCGCAGTCACCCGCTTCTGCACTTCGGTATCAAGCCATTCTTGCTCAAGCTTCTTGACCCGTTCATATAGCTCGTCACCGCGCATCATCAGCACGATGTTGTAGGCATTCCGGTATAGCTGCTCGAAAGAGAGATTGGACGCATCTTTCGTATGGATCTTCTTCAAAGACGTTGACAAGCCTTCCCAGTTTGTTTCAAAGTCATCGGTTTTATTGGTGTTAAGACCCTAATGCATCTTCGGTTAGTTGAGCCACTTCGATATAGTGCCGCTCAATGGCTTTCATAGTCCGAAGTACCGTGGACGGCGGCGTAGGACTTAATCCTTCTCCTGTTAAAGGGTCGGGATGATTATAACGGATCGGGAATGATATCTTACCCTCCGCGGGGCACGGATCTTTTGCCTTGCCCTCATAGCCATCTTCCGCTATAGTGGCACTTTGCCATCCACTGCCTCGGTGTTGGTCTTGCGCGCGGGGCAGTCGAAGGAGCAGCTGGACTTGGGTGGGCACAGATTGAGTGGAGATTCAGACCTAATGTGGGATTTTCAAGACTCAGTCAAAGAAGAGACCATCCAAAATAAACTCCTTTCAGCAGTTTCAGCGCTTCTTCGAAATGAGGGTGGAGTAGATGTACTGCAGACTGATACCGCGGAGGGCAGAGAAGGTGGAAAAACAATAAGTCCGGCGCAAGTTGAACACTTTCTCCGTCATTGCCCTCCGCCGTTCTCACGACCATACCTTTCAACTGTCGGGTTTCTACTAGGTCCTTGGGCAAGCAATTCCAGAGGCTAATACTTTAAGTCGGCGACTTTCATACCGATTCAATAAACTCATCTTCACGACCTCGCCATGCGCTCATTCACATCTTTCCCCCGAGGCCTCCGTGCCATCCAGAGCTCTCTTCCCCGAACTGCCATCTCGCGCCCTACATCCAGACCTTTCTCTCAACTCATCAACCGCTCCACCCGATCATCCCCCGCACTTTCCTGGGCGGCGGTCAGAATCTCCGTACCGGCCTCTACACTCCGTTACAACTCTAGCTCTGCGAGGCCTCTCACGGATCAGTCCGCGGACGCTGCCAGAGATGCGGAGAACGAAGAACAGAACAGGAAACGCCGGGAACAAGAACCGGCCTACCAAATTACCTTCACATGCAAGCCGTGCGGCGAGCGCTCGTCTCACCGTATGTCCAAGCAGGGTTATCACCGCGGGACGGTCGTGATCCGTTGTCCGTCCTGTAAGAATCGTCACATCATCAGCGATCACCTCAATATCTTCTACGACAAGAAGACGACATTGGAGGATATCTTGGCCGAACAGGGAAATAAACTGAAGCGGGGGTATGTGGAAGGAGACATGGAATTCTGGGATGATGGATCGGTGACCCCGAAGGAGGGTGAGGAGGCGAAGCCCGATCAGGGACAGTTGCCTTGATCTATCTGTCCCTGTGGGAGTTTAATGGATAATGAAAAGAGGCCTGGCTGTCGGTTGCATATCTACATTCGAAGAGTTACACTACCAAAAGTCTGCATAGAGTTGCTGGTTCAAAAGATACATGGGTATACAGGCGTTGTTGGTTGTCCCGTTTAGATACCTCTGTGACATTATATACACTCTGCTCTTGCGACCTGTACTATTATTATAACTTCGATGGATATATTTTGTACTATAATAGCAAATAATCTATTCCGTTCCCCTCCGCTCAACGCCCTTTTTTTGTATAAACCTGTGTGTGAACATGTACAATCATGAATTCCACGTCTCTTACCAGCCTCGTCTCTTGCTGCGGTGCTCCATGCCTTTCTCCTTTCTCTTATCACGCTTGCGGTCGTTCCTCCGCTTCTTCTCACGTCCGAACCTTTCAGGCTCCGTCACTGCCTCAATACGTCTCTTAACACGACGGCCTTCGCGCTTCTCCTTGATCTTCTCCTGGACGAGGGCCATTTGCTTCACAAACTCAGAGGTACCCAGCTTCTTCTGGATGAGGTCCAATACCTCATGGCAGTTCGACACCAGAGCCTTGTACGATTCTCTGAAGACCGGATCTGAGGAGCGGGGTGGCGGGATGGATGAATCAGTCATATGCTGAAGGGGGATGAGGATAATAGGGATAGATGGTTGGATCTGCTCTGCCTCAAGGTGGCGGCAAAGAGCTGCCAGAAGACCGATGGAAGCGGTCTTGGGGATCAACGATTCTGCCCTAGTGGTAAGAAGCTCCCTGCGCAGTACAGAAGACACTTGCTCGAAGATGTACCGGATAGCAGGCTTGGATGAGTCGACCGGCTGCTCCTCCTTATTCTCGTCATCGGATTCTTCACTGTCGCTAGCATCTGATTCGGCAGCCTTGTCACCCTTTCGAGTGAACTCGAGGCCATTCTGAGCGCAGCAGCGCGTAATGAAAATGATGTTGCGAACGGTTTGCATCGCAAGCTCCTCGCTGACGGCTGGAGTTCGAAGGCAGCGTACATTGGCACGGATCAGTTGCAGCATGGCGTCTCTATCCAGGGCCAATCCAGAGGCATTTTCCAAAGGCAATGAGCTGTAGCCATTAGTGGCATTCGACTTAGCCAAGTCCGCAAGCCAGGTTCCAACAAGGTTAGAAGCAGATGTTTTGACCCAGGCATGCGGGTAGAAGAGACATTCTCGGATAGCTGCCCAGTTCGTGGCACTTTCTTTGGCGAGCGCGATCGCAGGGACGCTCTTGCAGAGCTTTGCGTAGAGCTGGAGAGAGTAATAAAGCGTCTGCCAATTCTCAGTATCTTCAGCTTCTAGGACTGGCTGCATGATTGAAGGGAGAAGCTCTCTAACAAAACGAGCCTCCTTTTCCTTCGTCGTCTCTTCCGCCTCGAAGTAAATTCGCATAGCGTGTAGTCCAGTGCTGGTCAAAAGCAAGTTGTCTGTTTGTTCCAGCCATGAATGCAGAGGCACGAGAATGGTCTTCATCGTTTCGTTGTCTGCTCGGCTGTAGAATTGACTCAGCAAGGTTCCTGCGAGCTCTCTGCATTCTGCAGCATCATCATTCGCCATGACGATGACCACTGGCAAGAAAAATGTACCGACTATGTCTTGAGCGAGTTCCTGTCCAGTCTTCGACAGCAGAGTATGGATGGCTTCCATGACCGATTGACGACCCTCCGAGTGCTTGTACTCCAAGTTTTTGGCCAAGAAAGCCAGTTGTTTTGCCCACCTGTTCTTGGCCTGGGGGTACTCAATGAGGAAGTGAATGTATACACCTCGCGCTAGATCACGCGCAGAGCGGGTCTGGTTGGTGACCATCATGGTGGCAATATGGTCAACCAACTCGTACATTTCAGTGACAACGAACTTCCGAGACATAACAGCCCTGATAAAGTTAAACGTGATGCCTTGACGATCTGGCTCTTCAATGTCGGAAGTGAGGCGCTGCAGCAGATAGGAAAGATGCCCGTCCCTGAGCTTTGTGGACTTTCTCTCCCGAAGCATAGCCGCAATCAACTTCAGCGATGCTTGGGCAGCTTCGGTGTTTGTACTCGGCGCCTCCTTGATGATCTTGACAGCCTCAGTGAGATACACGTGAGAGTTGTTATCAATCTCCGCAAGAGGAAGCTTGACCATGGTAGATAGCAGTCGAAGGGCCGAGATCTTGACTTCCTCCTGCCCTTGGACTAGCGAATCGCCAATGATAGGGAGGAACCCAGCCACATTGGCTGGAGTGAGTAGTGAGTCAAACTTGCTCAAGACCGAGCGAAGGACATCAAGGGCAAAACGAGTCAACTTGTGGACGTAAGAAGAAGTGGTGCCTCGTTTCTCGCCCCGCTTTGCTCCATGAAGCTTGATCAGAAAATGTTCTTCGGAAGCAGACAAAGCTTTCTTTTCAGTCTGCACCGGCTCCTGGTACGACTCCTTAATGACTTCATAGCAAAACATCAAGATGTCACGGTTTTCTACACCTGGATTTCGCAAAAGACCAATACCGATTCTCCGCAACAGCTCGTCAGCTTTCCTCACAATGATGGAGGTAAGCTTCTCTTTGAGGAGTGATTGCAAGGGCCTGATCAGATTCGCCAGATTCCGAACGGTGGAATTCTTCGCCAGCAGTTCAATAGAGTCATAACTCTTGTTGCTCTTCACTTCTTTCATCTTGCTCACGTAGTCCTCTGCATCCTTCTCCTGACCAACAGTGCCAAAGGTATCGTCCATCACCACAGCGCTCAGGTCTGCCAGACAGTAATCCAGGTCCCCTTGCTTGAATTCGTCCGTCGTGGCCACAAGCATAGAATGGACAGTGAAAGACAGAACGTGCAGCTGGTAACCCTTTGTGAGGGTAGTCCGGAGTTCCTTGAGTATGTAGCCGAAATACACAGGGCCCAATAGCAAGGCGATGTCGTTCAAAGTCTTCCTAGCAGTGTCTCTGGAATCTTGCGCGCGGCTCTTAAGAATGCTGCAAACGTCCAGAAGGACGGCTGGTAAGCGAATAGTCATGTCTTGCTCTGGCAACAATTTCAAAAGCTTGATGGTTGTCACTGAAGCTGGCAAACGCAAGCTCATCTGTGCTTCATCTTTATGGTGAACAAAGTTTGTCAGGAAGGGGGTAAAGTTCGTCGTCAGTTCGGATGCAACCTTGGCAGCAGAAGGAATTGTGCGAGCCAAAGTACACTGGGAAGGTACTGAAGTCTCAACTCCCTCCATTTGGTCTTCGGTCGTTTCCTTGGGCGCATTGATTTGATTCATTGCTGTGGTTAAGGCGTCAGACATTCTACCTAGAAGTCTCAAGATATTCTTTTCCATCTCTGGCTTGCTCTGCATGTAACCCTTATACCTACGGAAGATGGCCCTGAACTGGTTCCAGTCAAGCCACTCCGCAAGTGCTCCGATGGTCGCAACTGCCTCCGCGATCAGGTTGTGGGCAGCCTCATCAGCCTCTTCATCGAACACAAAATGCTCGTTAAGGGGAATGAAAATTGTGCTAATGTTTGAAGCCTGTAGTTTGCCCTTTGATGCCTCGGTAGCCAGACGTCGTAAGGCTCGGAGACGACGATGCTGTTGTATATGGAGAACATTATTGAAAAAAGAGGCTTCCTCGTCGTCATCAACAAGTAAATCACGCATATCCTGGACGTTAGGTCTGTCAGGATTCAGCTTGACGAAGTAGCCTAGCGCGGAGATAAATTCCATCCGAACTAATTCTGATTTTTGCCGAATTCCATTCTGCAATGAAGGGAATAAAACATCCTTTACGAGGGGCTCGAATTCCTCTACAGTGTTGTCAGTAGCGAGAGTGGCCCGTTCCATGAATCGTTTCAATCCAAACGAAGCACTCGATCTGATGGCAAGCTCCTCGTCGTCTTTGACATGGTAGAGCATGTTGTAGAGAACCGGCCGCCATTGCCTAGCATTGAACGTCTCCCAGAGCCCATCGTTGATCTCTCTGAAAGCCTGCAACCGACGTTCAAAGTCAACTTCCAGCTTCTTTCGAGAGACTGAGTTCAAGTCTTCACAAAGAGCAGCAACCTTGATGAGGTCGGGGTCATGCTTGGCGAACGCAGAGAAAACCCTAGACAAGACCTCTCGGTTCGCTTCATCCTTGAAATAATCGAACATGGAGGAAACTGCATCAAACACCTCCTGGAAAAGCTTCAAATCTTCCTTAGGGTCGTACAGAGGCAAAAAGTGCTCGAGGATGCGCAGAAGGCCAGATTTCGTCTTGGGGGACACTCGGTCCGGAGGTTGACGGAGAAGATATGTGGTTATGTTAACCAAGCTTGACGTTTCCGTGGACGATTCAACACATGGGGCCAGTAGAGAAAGAGTCTGGACGCCAGATATTAAGACTGGTCGGGAAGGGCCGCGCCTCAGCAAGTTACCCATGTGAGAAAGGGTGTGGTCTAAATAAGGTGCCAAAACCACCGATCGAATTTCATCAGCGGGAATATCGCTCATTTCCTCCTGCTCTCTGAGTTCCTTCCCAGTTGCCAGTCCGACTAATGGCACTAGAATCTCATCCATGATAAACACCTTGACTTCATCACGGGTGGAGTCCACACCAAGACAGTCAACGACCTTGGTTAGAAGGGCATCATTATGTTGAACGAGATAGAAGGACGATCTGGGGGCAGTAGCCCAGGTATGGAATAGTCTAAGAAGACCAGAAACACCTTGGGTTGTTTCTGTCGCAAAGTTTTCAAGTCTAGGGTTGATCGTCTCGTTGAAGATCACACGAACGAAGGGTGTCCAGTCTCGGTCCAGCGAGACAGAGAATATAAGGTCCAGGCACTTAATACATGTAGACCGGATATTACGCAACACTGTCAATAGCTTCGTTTCTTCGTTTTCTGTTTGCGACTTTTCCAATTCACGACATGCCCGAACCAGGCAGTAAAGGACAACTTCCATAGACCGCTCTGCGTAAGGTGTCATCTTGGTCTGTAGTGATTCAAAGACCGTTTCGATCATTCTTAATAGACCCATTTGCCTCCTTGGACTTGCCAGCTCTCGTGCGAACACTTCCTGATCAATTTCACCATTTTGGATCAAGTGAACGTCGCCCAGAGGACCAAAGGAGATCTGGATGAAGAGTTGGAACTCGTTGTCAGGCAACTGGGCCAAGGTTCTCAGAACTGCTTTTCGTCGTCCTGCCTGCCCAGCCTGACTTGCGCTCGCGCCAGCTTTTGAGATCATCCGTCCATAGAGAAGTCGGAGGAGGACAGGAAGAAGCTCGTCCCTGTGTGCTTCTTCAATCAGACTATCTTCCCCGCCAACTTGAACGAACGCCGAGAGCTCGTCCCTGAACCGCGATTCATCAAGAATATTCAGAAGGTTCTCCTTGTATGGCAAAATACCTTGGGCTTTCCAAGTGAAAAGAGCTTTGAGCGCAGCCTTCTGAATCTCAGAATTTCCGTGACACAACAATCCAAGAACTGCATCGTGAACCTCGGAAGCTCTGAACAGGACACGGGGGTTTAAGTACTGGCCGAAAAGGCCAAGGAAGGCCAGTCGATCATGGAATCCCCAAGGAATGTAAGAGGTAGACTCGGAAGATTTCAGATCAGTCATTGAAGGGATATCTTCTTCATCACGTGTTGCCCAGGACAAGAATAAGGGAACAACCTGGCGCGACCGTTTCTCGGCGATGTTTGGCGCAGCATTAAGAACACGTAAAGCTTGAGTTCGCGGGGCAGCTGGGATGACCTCCGAGAATTGATGGTCTTTTTCGAGCCTCTGTGTTAACATGGAGATGGGCTCAGCGGCCTCGAAATTTGTGGTGCCAACACTTTCCACCTTGGCTGCATTAAAGCACTGGTATTCTCCAGACACGAAAGATTCCGCATTAGGATCTTCTGTGTCTTCGGCGGACGTTGGGGAGCCTCTCTCTTGAAGCCACTGGATAGCCAGATCCGAAACGATCTTCTCTCCATCTGCGTGCTCGCTGATCGACTTCAAGGCAGCGGCAGAGTCATCCCACAAAGGAGCCATCTTCTTTGAAAAAAGACCGAACAAGAAATTCGGGATCAGCCTAGACATCCATCTCCGCGATGCCACCTGTGGATAAGACATAGCCATCTTCCGTACGTGCATGGCCAGCTCTCTGGCGGACTGCAGCGTAAGGGGGCTTTCTTCAATTTGAATGGCCAAGGATATGAGGGACGTGTCGTCGCCCGAAGCTTGAACAATTTCTTGCAGGATTTTGAGGGATACCAGTCTCAACTCGTGGGACGGCCCGGCAAGATTGGTGATTAGCACATCTGCGAACTCAGCGAGGGCAGGCTTGTTCAGGTCAAGTTCATTGGAGCAAGCTGAGACATAAGCCAAGGTTGCCTCGAGAAAAACGGGAAGACGAGAATATGTAGAAGCGACGTTGCTGATCTGATCCCAGAGATTGGAGTCGACTTCGCCGCAGGTCGACGCCAGCTCCACATATGCCTTGAAGCCCTGACCGACGAAAAACTTGGTCGACAGAGATGGCTCGGATTCATCACTCTTCAGTGCACGAGATACGTGGTCGTGGAGACTTTGAGTCATATCAGGGAGGAGGGAAGGTTCTGTGGATAAGGACAGGGCACTGGGAAGCTTCGAATATGCGTTGAGAAGTGTTACCTCTGTTTCCCCGGGACGCTGGGTTTTCAAGGTCTTCTTGATTTTAGCCTTCCAGGGGGCTGGACAAGAGATATAACCAGGCTTCGAAACTTCTGATGTGATGCAGCCGGCTTGATTCAACCGAAGCAAGATCAAACAAAGTTCGTACTCTCGCTCCTTCCATGAAGTGTTGACAAACCTATTCAAGAATTAGTAACCAATGATAAGAGGATGTACAGCTTGGGGTTCTTACTTCTGGAAGTAAGGAAGTATCACGCTATGAAACCGCTCTGCGCCCCATTCCGAAAAAGTGGCGCAGAATGACAGGAAGTAGTTCGCAAGAGGCTCGCTTGTCACCGTCTCCATGGTCGTACGCATAAATGGCAGCAATTCATCCATAGGTGAAACTTGGAGGGCATATGCCACCGCAATGAGAAGTTGAGGTGTCGCCTCGGCATACACATCAGGCGCCGCCGCGGCGGTTTGCAGGAGAAGTAACAAGGTCTGGTGTACACTTTTCCAGTTCTTCACTCGCAAGCCCTTGCGAGTAGAAACACAGACGAGGATTAGGCGGCAACATGCCATGGCGCGTCGTTTGTCAGCTTTCCGGCAACGAGCCTCAATATGCGATTTGATCGTGTCCACTATGGGCTCAAAAGTGTCTGGAGTTGTGTTATGGATTATGTTGGTCAAAATGCCGCTTGCAACATCCAGTCCCAGGCTACTACGCAGGTCGTCATCCGTAGACATGTTTTCCAGAACAGCGCTGAAGATATCAATGCCATTGGAGTGGAGACCATACTTGACACCCTTTATGGCGTCAGAAAACATGGCCATGAGACCTTCCTTATATATCTCGACATTCTTATTGTCCGCTGCCGTCTGATGCAAATCGTCGAGTAAGAATGAAATCGCACGCTGAAGAGGTGTAGTGTTCTTATAATAGACTAATCCTGCCTTGCGAATGAGAAATGACATTGACTCTGCGGCAAACCGCGCCACAAATGGCTTCTGTCGTTCTTTTCCGAGATACGGGGTCATGATGCCTAGAAGCTGCCTCAGGTCCGGAACCAAGAGCCGCGAAAGGAATTTGAAAATCCATGCAAGACATGTGAAGCTCCATTCAACCACCTCAACCTCAGGGTGAGTAGCAGCTACGGAGGCCACGAGGGTCACCGAGGTAGCGAAATGCTTCTCGAATTTCGCACCGAGGTCCCTGGCAAACTGGGCAAGAAGACTCAGGAGCGGCTCCATGGACAGATGATCCCTCTTCTCAATGAATTCCACCAACAAGCTCATTATCTTTTCCTCGTGATACAGGATCTGAACCAAACTCTCACATAGCGGGTTAACGCGACGAGCAAACTGCACAAAGTTGTCGGACAGGTTCAACTCGGTCCAGTGATCAAATGCGGATCGGAAATGTGACGAGTTTTCGTCTCCTTCATCTTCCCCAAAACTCGGCCGGCGCACGCGGTGAATCGGATCGATCTTTAGCTTTGCGACACGCTGCGAAAAACCCTCGAACCGATAGTTCTTTGTCGTCTCCGTTCCTTTCTTCACACGCTTCACGGGCTTTGCCCGCGAAGCTGACGACGCTGCGACCATCTTTGGGAGCGATGGTGGTGAGACGAGGCAGCGCCGTTCGAATATGGTTGTATTCCAAGAATTGGAATAAGTTGATAGTATACCTCAAGACAAAAAAATTCATCGGCGCCGCAGTAGCATTATTCCGTGCGGAGAGTAGCGGCGCTTGCAGGGAATATCCTCTAGCCTGATAAGGCTAATCGCAGTCACGTGGAGATTAAGCATGGTCCAAGCTCCCCGGACCGTTTTTGGCAAAAACTGTCGCATGTCCAGACGCGACGATAACGAACGAGTCGGCATTTCATACTTTGAAGCCGCTCCAGGAATTTGCTTTATATAGCGCTCGAAACTTCTATAGGTTTCGCGCTAGTTCAATCTTGCCTTACGCGAAGGCTTGACTGCTCAAAATACTATGGTCTGCTCGAACCTTGCATCATAGTACCGAAGCCGAACTACAACCTGAATAATGGCCTCCAAAATGTGAGTCTGACAGCTCCATAGTACATAACCCGCGCAGTCCACTGACACATATCCCAGAATTGTAATTGGTGGCGTGAACTGCCAGCTCCGAGAAGTATTCACGAAGCTGGCCAAACTCCACGTGAAACAATCATTCGCATTTGCGATTGTTGTCGGCGACCTATTCGGCGACTGCTCGACAGAGCAGGAACTGGATGAGATCTCTGCGCTGTTCCAAGGGAGTATCAGCGTGCCACTCCCGACCTACTTCACCTTGGGTAGCCGGCCTCTTCCCACCAGGGTGATTGAAAGAATCGAGGCGAACGACGAAGTCTGCCCGAACCTCTATTTCCTGGGCAAACGCGGCACTCTCAAGACCTCAGAGGGTATCCGGCTCGTCGCTCTAGGCGGCAACCTGGAGACAGAAAACCCATCCTCCGACAAGTATCACCCAAGCTACGCAGAGTCAGACGCCAGGGCGCTCTACGGTGCCCACAGCGCCGATATCCTCCTCACCCATCAATGGCCGAAGGGGATCCGCACACGCTCCCAAGTCCCGATCCCAGAGGAAGCAACCAAACCCGAAGAAGTACAATGTATCGCAGACCTCTGCTCAACTCTAAAACCTCGCTACCACCTCTCCTCAACGGCCGAGTTCTTCTACGAACGAGAACCCTTCTTCCACCTGCCCCCGGAAGACAACCCCGACGCCAAACCCCTAACTCGCTTCATCAGCCTCGCATCCTACAACAACCCCTCCAAGCAAAAATGGATGTACGCATTCACGCTCGATCCCAAAGCCCCCCACCCATTAACCATCCCCACCGGCGCCACCGCCTCCCCGCTGGCCCCCGTGCAAACCAAACGCAAGCCCCTAACCAGCCAAAAAGAATCCTACAGCCGCTTCGCCGTCGACGACGAGGGCAGTAACCGTCCCCGCAAGCGTGCCCGCGGGCCCCCACCAGGCCCGGACCAGTGCTTCTTCTGCCTCTCCAACCCCAACATCGCAACCCACCTCATCACCTCTATCGGCAACGAAGCCTACCTCACGACAGCCAAGGGGCCCCTCCCCACTGCCAAAACCTTCCCGACGCTCGGCTTCCCAGGCCACATGCTCATCATCCCCTTCACGCACACGCCAACGCTATCCAGCATCGCAGACGAGCAATCGCGGCTCGCAACCTACACAGAAATGCACCGCTACCGACAAGCGCTGCACTCCATGCTCAGATCCAAAACCAACAGCGCCCTGGGCGCCGTCACCTGGGAAGTCAGCCGCGGCAACGGCATCCACACCCACTGGCAATTCCTGCCCGTCCCCGCCGACCTCATCACCCGCGGCCTCGTCACCGCCGCCTTCAAAGTCGAAGCAGAGAACCTCAAATACCCCAAGTTCGAGTCCCCGTCATCGTCCAGCGATCCCAGCGCCGAGCCGGGCGATTTCTTCCGCGTCTGGATCTGGGGTCCGAACAAGAACCCTAACTCTGACTCTGGCGCTGACTCTGATGCCGACACTGAGACAGAGAAAACGCTGCTCTTACCGCTTGGGCCCGAGTTCAGGTTCGATCTCCAGTTTGGGCGCAGGGTGATGGCGAAGTTGATGGAGCTGGAGGGCCGGATTAATTGGAAGAATGATGTGCAGTCGCAGGCGGAGGAGGAGGCGGATGCTACTGCTTTTAAGGATGCCTTTAAGGAGTTTGACTTTACGTTGGAAGAATAAAAGGGATCTACTGGGGGTTTTTGTAATTTAGTTGTTTATAGAGACTCTTTTTGGTGTGTTTGAAAAAGTGTGTGGGCTGTTTGAGCATGTGGGTATTGGATATATGTGAGTGTGTGCTGCGTTGTTTGTATCCATTATCTCTTGAGCTTGCCAGGGACACAGGGACAAAATGTAACACTGCCACTCTGATAACGATATATATTCGTGTCTTCTTTCTATTGGTATAGTGGTTCACTATTCAATAGAGTGTCCGGCTTATTTGAAGAGGCGAAGTGGTGGAAATGCATAGACGTAATAGAATAAAACCATACATATTGTGAAGCTATCATTGTCATCTAAAGAACATAAAGTCAAGTATCCTATCAATCGTTCATCGAATAGAATAGCATGTACATACAAACACATGAAGTGAGAAAGTCATGAGACGGTCTTTTCCAACGCCAAGCCAAACAGAAGCGAAAGGTAACAGGAAAGAATAGAGGTTAGAAGAAAGCCCACATATCTCCAATTGATTGTATTGATCAATGTACATTTCGGTGATCAACACTCATAATGTACGGTGGCGTTCAGTGGTTTGGTTCTGTACAGAAAGATAAAAGGTCCAAAATCACCATAAAAATGTCCACCAAATGAATCAAGCGTGTCATATCCTAAAGAGCAGAACGGGTGGTGATACCAGGTAGTAAGCGTAATTTCCACACATTGTGCAAGAACGCCAACTATATCGACTGTATGTAGAAGAGAGTATAAACAAATCGGCCTTGACGTTGACCCACAGACGCCAATGAGCGGCTGCGATTAAATCGAGACAAAATCTCAACACTATCAGTTGCAATGTTTATACATCCCTGAAAGAATTGGGAACGGCCTTCCGGCCACTCTGTAGCAAGGTTGGGGGCCTGCCCGAGTCTTGTATGGTTTCATGCGGAGCGGGACTGGATGTGAATGGTGGAGGGGGCGACGAAGGAATGGAAGGAGATGTATCCCTATAAACCGGTTCGGTGTTGAGCGGGTGCGGCATTGCCCTGTAGGTGGGCTCCGGGCCAGGCGGGGGCATTGCCTGGTACGCGGGCTCAGGGCCGGTAGGAGGCATCGCGCGGTAAGCCGCCTCCTGGCTAGGCGGAGACATGGTCCGGTAGACAGGCTCGTGACTGGGGGGAGACATTGCCCTATACACTGGTTCTTGAGTTGGAGGAGACATTGCCCTGTAGGCTGGGTTCGCGTTTGCAGGTGTCAATGCTCTATAGGGAGGGGCTGCGTTCGCAGGAGACATCGTCCTGTTGATAGGAGATTGGTGGATGGCAGGAGATGGTTGCCGATAAGGAATCGGGCGAGCGCCATCCGTGGATAGTGCCATCCCTGGGGTTTGGTTGATGGCTGGAGATGGGTGACGATACGGTGAAGGGGAGGCATCAGTAACCGGTGAGACGGCCGTACCAATTGGCAGGTAGTTCGGTTGGGATCCATAGTTTTGAGAATAATCACCATAGGGTTGTTCGTATGGCGAGATAGGGCCTGGAGAGGGCCCGCCGGGAGAACGAGCATGATACGCGCCCTGGTCATCAGGGTGGAAGCCGGAGGAACTAAAGGCTGTATCTGTCCTGATAGGCGGTGGCCCCATGTAGCCGGCTCCGTTTGCTCGGGGTGCGGATGGCATTCGACGCGGTCTTTGGTTGGCAAGGTTCAAAGGCTCCATCTCCATTGCATCTTGGTGATGACCCGGCTCTTCGACCCTCTTGGTTACAGCACTATCCCACGTGGGCATCGCGGGCAACGCATCTTCATTGCCCTTGGAGACTGCAGGACTTGGGGGAGTGTCAAAGCGGGCAACCTGCGCCCCACGATAAGTAGGTAGCGATGGGGGAGCGGGTGGCTGATAAGGATTGTTTGTCGGCATCGGTGGAGGTTGATTGTATGGGTCATCCAAGTATTTTGGTTCCTTCTTTCGGCGGGGAGACGGACAGCAGCATGAACAGCATCCACAGCATTTACAACATTGGATGCCGCAACACAGGCAATTTATAATACATGCCAGAATGGAGATAACAATGAGCGCACCAACAATGATCGCAACGATTACGGGCCATCTGCAGTGTCCGAGTCAGATATGTGGTGAGATTACTAGAAGAAAACCATGATTCAACGTACTTGCAATACGATTTGGCCATGCAATTATCCCAACTCGATAATGTTTCCGGAGCGGACTTGAGGTCGCTCACAAAGTCGCGCGGCCATATCGGGAATGGCGTCGTATCCACCGGACTCATTTTGGCGGAATATGAATCCTGAGATTGGGTTATCCGACCCCACACGGTCAATAGTACGGGCTATATGCGATGGTTCTTTATCCAGATGTCACTCTGATAGGGAACAAGTGCACGGTACGAAGTATGCAATATGCACTTGAGCGTACAACATGTGCTGCTGCGCAACGAAGCGGACCCAACGTCAGGTTTGGATGGTCGCGGTCGCAAGAGCCACAGATGAGCGACGGCCCACGGGACTCAGTCTTCGGTTTCTTTTCGTTGGATACGATTCCCTCTTGCATCAACGATCAAGAGTAAATGAGTGGACCGGTTTGCGACGTCGATTGAACGGATGCAGATTTTAATCGTGGTAACCTGGAATTCGAGGTACACGATATGAATTTTCTTAGAAGCAGAGAACGTCACAATTCAACCAAAAAGGAATGATTGGAAGAATCAATATATTAAAGAAAGTGCCTGTTAGTTCAGCGGTGATATCAATGCACCGCCACCAGGGGGATCACCGCAAACAGCAGAGAGGGGATGGAGAGGGAAAGAGAGAGACTAGGTGACAATATTTCGGATGAAAGATACACGGGCGGAGAAGGAAAGACGAAGTTCAGTTGCCCGCAAGAGGGTTGAAAGGGAGGGCGGAAGGAAGGGAAGGGAGGGGGAAGAAAAAGTCGAACAAGGGGAGAAAGAAAGAAGAATTATTTTTTGCCCACAGGGATCAGCGCATGGAAGAGAACCAAAACGCTCATCACAATTGCCAGAGATGGAGAAGAGGTTCGGTGGGTAGCCGATCCATTAAAAAGTAATCTCGGTGGTGAGCTTCAGGTACGCGAAGTATTACACTCACTTACTAGTCCCGGTACTCCTCACATTGTAATCTGAAACTACTTCTCATCCACAATCATTGGCAGTCGCAGTGTCCACTTTGATCGTCTGGATGGTACTCGTCAATACGAATAAGTTCCCGAGCACGGCATTCCCGACCTTTATATGGAAACCTATACGGGATGGAGCAGACCTTCGTGGGTCAATGCGATCGGTCGTTAAATGTCGTTGAGGTTAAATTACTTTATTGGAGAAATGTTTCGGTGCCCCATACTTTTCTCATGCACCGTGAGCGAGTTCGGCCCCAGGCCAAAAAGCCAAAGAATTCTGCGCTCCGTCACGGGCCAATGGTTCTGCAGGAAATTACTTAGTTCCTTTTTTTAGCGTCGGCTCGTTCAGTGCAAATTGCGAGTTGCACTGCGCACTAGGCATACTCCCAGAGTTCCCCTTCCCACCACAAGTAAATAGTAGTAGTAGTAGTAGTAGCGGGAAAAAAAAATATTATCTTCATGTCTACTCAGAGTCATAGTAATGTACACCGCCGACGCCTCGCTAGCTTTTCAGAAAGCTGTGGAAGTTTAGAAAACGAGCCAGATTCGCAAAAAAAAAGCCTGCACCTCGTGCTGCAAGCCCTAACTTTGGAGCAATGTGAATCGAAATTGCTCGAATGGTCATTATAGTAATAAAAAGGAGATATCGAGGTATGATAACAAACACAAAGGAGCTCATAGACCCATCAAACATGCTCTCGGCTGCATCCTCCTTGCTGGGTATTGACAAAGAAGCAGGGGTGCAGGAGATTCAAAAAGATGACACCAACGCCAGTGATAACAGAATCTGAATCATGCGATCATTTCAAGTTTTGGATTAAGATCTCGTTCAACGACTACCGGTCTCGACAAATGTTTATACTTTGCTGGCATTTGGGGGTGGAGGGCCCGGCGGTGGCTGGTAGGCCCGCTCGGCGCCGTTGTGATACGCATTCGGCGGTGACTGCAACTCGATGCCCGTTTGCTGTCCTCCAAAATAGCCGTAGGCTTGCGGTTGGGGTGTATACTGAGGCGGTGGCTGTTGCTGATAATGAGGGTCTGCATAGTAAGGATGTTGATGTTGATGTTGTCCGTAGGGAGGCGGGCCAGCAAGCCATGCCGTACCCGGATGAGGTTGAAGGCCGCGAGTGCGACGGCGGCGAGCGTTATAGCATCTAGCAGGACGTTAGCTTCATGCAACTGGCTCAGATTAAGGTCCTCCGCCAAGGACGGGAGAGAGGAACATACGCAAAAAGAAAGAATATGATGAAAGCACAACCAACAATGACGGCGAACGCTACCCAACGACCCCAGTCATACCAACTACTTGGCCTGCAGACCCAATCGCCCCAGCTATTATATCCACTACAAAGACACTGTTAGCTTCGTTTCATTCCATTGACTCCGATTACCCTTATGGATATTGGGCTATGGAACTCACCACTCTCGGCGGGCGTGGATGACACCCATCGTGGCTGAAAGGCCTCTTTATCCGAGGCCGACTGTAGGGCGGAGAATGACGTCGATCACAGAGACGAGAGCTCCTGGTGGTGAGCAATCAGCGGAGGTAAAAGGGTAGTAACGAGCTCAGCGATCTTGCTGGAGCGTGAATACAAAATTCGAAGGAGGTTTTTCGATCCGTACGAAAGAATTAAACCAGGACCAATGTAAGGGGAGGAAAGAAAGTGGAAGTTCTTGTACGTCTGAAGGCAGCAACGAAACCGCAGCAGGAATGGCGCGGGTAAATTATGGAGACAATGAATGGACTTGGACCTTACTCGGAGTGTGGCTGGTGCTTGGCGGCCTTACGCCGACCGGTCTGTTTATTTTCTTGGGTTACTTTTCGGTGGGTAACCGTAGGATTTGGCAAGGATGCGCAATAGGGCTGGGAACAGGGGGGCAAATTAGATAATAATAATAATATTGCCTATATGAAGAAAGGGGAGTCTTCAACACCTGGTGGAACAATGTTAAAAATTCCTCGTAAATAGGGCATTTGATCGTGAACGCATTCGATATATCCCCTCACGCAATGCACTCACCGCATCACTCGGGGTTATTTCGAGTGGCAAGCGACCAGGGCCGATATTCTAGCTCGCCTCGGTACGGCATATATAATCACTGTCTAAGCCACCAAGCACCTGACTTGATGGTTTCCTCCCGCGTGAAACTTACCAAGTTCTATAGTTTATGATTTGCTGTCTGGGTTTGCCCCGGTTACTCGGATGAGTTGTTTGTGGCTTCAGTTTCCGTTCCTTCATAACTTTCAGCATACTCGAGTCTCGTGATCAACTGTGCACAGCCTTGGATACTCGTCATCGACTCCAGGGATTTCTAGAATTTTTGAATGCATGGTGAGCATGACATCTCTTACTTATTGGTCAGTATCGCGCAGGTTTGACATCGGTGTGGTCCCAGTGAAAGGTCCAATGGCTTATCATTTATCCGTAAGACTGTCAGATATCGAAAGCGAAAATACTTGTGATCCACTGAGTTGCTGACAGCCTATCTACTAACTCGAGAAGGAGACTGATAATCCCAGTGAAGGACTTTCTAATTGTTGGCAACACCTGGTTATGTCTTATGGTTTTCGACAACTCATAGTGTCTCACCGGTATATGTAGGCATCCAATACTTCTGGTGCAAACATGTGACATGTATATCAATCAAGTAATTAGACATTATCGGAAGGATAGAAAGTGGACTGAAAACCAGGGCCGATTTTATATTCCAGCCTCTGTAGGATTGCAACATGGTGGTGATTTGCTGCAGGATCAAGAGCGCCCGCCAAGATATATTAAGAGACAATTCGCAGCTCAAGCATTTCTGTGTACCACTAGACCCAACTCAAGTTCTTGCTCATTCTTGGTAATAAGAGTACTATGTGATAAAAAAAAAAAAATCATTGCTTGTCCCAACCCATTTAAATTCTCCATGGATTGATCGCAAGTTGCTGCAGATGATGAAAGAAAAGTAAGTGCAGTACAAAATAAGGTAGAAGAGAAAAGGTGGAATGGACATGCAACCTGTACTTGGTCTAAATCACTTCATCGTAGGAAATGACTAACCCGATCACCAGGCCACCAAAGCAACCTTAGCCGATCGACAGGGATATGAAGCAGACCATGATTTGCTCACGACTGGGTAATCTATGAATAGGATCCCAGAAGCCTTTGAACTTTGGCAGGTGTTGTTGGCGGGGTTGGATTTGCTGGTTCGCATGAGGGCTTGATTAGTTCCCGTCTTCGCATCTGCAATGCCAACGCATCAGTTGGTCTGTGTGCTCTGCTCCAACACGATCCTCATAAATAAGATAGGCGCCAGTGTCTCTATGGCCCCCCTCGCTCCCTCTTTTCAAAGCTACTTGGCCCTGTCCTTTGGCTTTGTAATTCAACTTGAAATGTGGATTTGCCTGAGGGTTTATAACGTTATATATCTCGGAATAGCCCCAGACCAATGCTCATAGTGGCTCTCCTCTCCAACTCACGTGTCTTCCATCTCGGACGTCATATAATTCCAAAGCCAATCACTATGAGATCGGGCACCAATGCCGCCATAATACAAGCCCACTAAAAATTACATAGAAACGTGGGTCATCATGCAACGAATGAAATTAACAAACAGTGAAAGGGAAGCTGAATGAGCGCACGTGCTGAAGCCAAAAGGCAACAAAAAGCAAACAAGACAAAGAAAGAAAGAAATCAACATCAATGACGCTAAAATTTAATGTGCCTGGTTCACATCGTCAACATCATTACATCGGAGGCTGCAATCCAAGAAGCTGAAAGAGTCTACAAAAGTTTAGGCCTGCGGCCGGGAAAAGAAGGATGAAGCAGGTGCTGTTTCCCACGATCTTCATCGACTGGCTTTGGCGATCAACCAGTGCAGAACAGCATCAAGGTTAGTCTCTTCTTTGGCACTAATTCCATAGCAGCTCACTTCGCGATGGGTAATGGATTTCAGATCCATCGCATCAATCAGTTCGTCGACGGACAGCTTATTCGGAAGGTCGGACTTGTTCCCAAGGACTAACAGCGGAATACCTTCAAGAGAGGGCTTGTTCATCAACTCGTGCAGCTCATCTGTGGCGATTGGAAGTGCAGGGCGGTCTGCTGCATCAACGATGTACCTGGTCCGAATGTCAGAGGAATGACCACAGCAGTGAGTCCTATTCCAGAGAGGACAAAGGGGTGGACTTACACTATCGCATTTACACCGCGGCAATATCGCTCCCACATTGGTCGGAACCGCGGTTGGCCTCCCAGATCCCAGCTATATGAGCGTTAGCACCGCGATGCGGGGACCATAGCGGACAGGCGTTGGGACACTGACCATTTCAAGGTCACATGGCCTTTCTGAACCCGTTTTGTGTTGAAGCCAATGGTGGGGATGGAACTGTGGGGAGGTTTAGCAAGAGAAATGACAACCCTTACGGCTAGGCTAAGCCTACGCTCTTGACTTACTCTACAGTAAACTCGCCTCCCTACAGGGTTCGTTAGGTCACGTTAGCGATGGTGGTCGAATACTAGATCGGTCGGTCCAGATGAATGGAGGCATACCGCAAGCACACGCAACAGCGACGATTTCCCTGCGTTTTGAAGCCCGATCATGGTGACATCCATCTCCGTCGCCCTGCCATTTCGAAATACAAAGTACCGCTCTTAGCAAGCCGAACCTTTTTTGTTTTTTGCGGGGACGGGCCGGGGAACTATTTCCGGGAGAACCGCAAAAAGCGATGATTTATTGGAACAGCGGCCCACTTACCAAAACATCCTCAGGAGCCAGTCATAAATCGTCCGAAAGATACCCGCCATGTTTGCGATTAAGAAAAAGAAAAAAGCAGAGAGACACTGTTCGTACAACGGAAATCAACCAGAGAAGAATGAAGGGAAAAGAAGGGACAGGATGGCCAAGAACGGTCGAGAGAAAGAGAAAACCAACAGAATGGTCGATTGTTCTGGCGCGAAGTGGCGATGGTGGGTGAAGATATTGAGACCTAGGATAAGAGTTTTGTAAGATTAAGAGTGGGGATGGTGGGCTTGCTGAAAGGACTCGAATCCCGCGACACCAGCGGACCACGAGACAATGAATGTAATCAAATAAGACGTGAGGAAGATAAGTAAGCCTAGTGGTAGTGAGAATGGGAATTTGAGGGAAGCAGGGAACAAGACGGCGGAAAAGCGACGTGAGGTCTGGAAGAGGAACGACACCGAATCAAGTTGAGCTGAACTTGATTGAAGGGGGCGGCGGCAGAGAGACTCCCCAGACCAAAAGCGTTGCGGAGAGAGCGGCTATCGTTTTCAGTTTCAGGCGCGCTTCCTTCTGATGAAGGGAATAGGGAATGATATTTCTGCTTTTCGCTCACTGCTTTGCGGTGAAACTGAAGTGCTCCGATCTATGTGCACGCATGACCGCTCGTTCTGCGCCGCTTTGGAGGGGAGCGCTTAGTGGCCCCTGTCACTCATGTCCGTCAGTCTGGACGAGGTCAAAGTCCCTACAGGAGTTAGTTCGAAAGCCAGTGGTTCTGTCGCACGGAGAGTGATCTTGAAATTGCTCTGGAAAAAAAAAATAGTAATAGTGACCCAATCGGTGAAGACAAAATCTGTTTCGATTTGTAATTCCTGTTCGAAAAGTAAATGCACTGTCTTATCTGGAGCCCGAAAGGGGAGCAAGAAAGCAATGAACTACTTCACCAAAACGTTCAACGTATCTATCAGCTTTGTTTGCCTTGTTGCCTAAGGCGGCGTCCCGTCCCGCACTTGGGTCCCGTGATGCAAGCCTTGCATAACGTGCTACGACTTGCGGCCTCAGGCAGAACAGCCACCGCTCATCATCACCACGATCTATCAGCACGTGATGATATCTGTCCGCCGGTTCCACCTCGAAAAATTTCCCCGTCGCAGCGACAAGAAAGGCTTCATTCAGACCAGCGCTCGTACTCCAATTGCGAGTCTCATTCCCTCTTGGTCACTCTTCTTCCCTCGCCTTTGATATCTGCGGCAGGAGGGGGTGAGCTCTTGAGGCAAACCAGTCACACCGAATCACATCGACTGGAGCCTCGGCTTGTGTAGACTGAAGTGTACAGTGGAAACTTTTTTTCACCTCCGAACCTCCGGGAAGAAAAACGTTTTCCTCGATCAAAGTCATTCCAACTTCACCATGGCTCCTGCTAAGACAGACACCAATTGGTCTGTCAATTACGATGTACTCAGGCGGGAGCAGCTATTCAAGAACCCTCCCAAGGATCGTACAGCTTATCCTGCACTAGCAGCCTCTATCAAGCCGCACGTTGATTCCTTCAATGCGCTTTTCGAGGACAGCAAAGTTTTGGAGGCGGGATTGAAAGATATTGGCACCAAGACATTCATCGACGGCGAAGCAGAAACTCCTGAGCAGAAGAAGGCTAGACAGGCAGAGGGCCGAAAGGCACCGAAGCGGAACAAGCTCCATGTTCGCGTCAAAGAAGTCTTCCTCGAGAAGCCTGCCATTCCCCCGACGAACAAGTTCACCACTCGTAACCGCAATATCTACCCGTCCGAATGTAGAGAGAGACATGCGACATACCGTGGCAAGCTGCGCGCAAAGATTGAATACCGGGTGAACAATGGGGATTGGATGGAGGCTGTCAGAGAATTGGGTCAGGTTCCTATCATGTTGAGGGTGAGTGGCTATAGTAGATTTATATGGGAGGTTCTACTGTTCCTGGTCTGGCTAACGTGAGTGTGGCATAGACCAATCGATGCCATCTGGAGAAGGCAACCCCCGCGGAACTTGTTGAGCACAAGGAAGAGTCTGAGGAGCTGGGCGGCTATTTCATCGTAAATGGAAACGAGAAGTTGATCCGAATGTTGATTGTCGGAAAGAGGAATTTCCCCATGGCCATTATTCGTGGCTCCTTCGTTAAGCGTGGCCACACATATACCAAATATGGTGTTCAGATCCGATCCGTCCGTCCTGATCAGACGTCCCAGACCAATGTCCTACATTACCTGAGTGACGGTAATGTTACTTTCCGTTTTTCATGGCGCAAGAATGAGTATCTCGTCCCGGTGATGATGATTCTTAAGGCGCTTGTGGAGACGAATGATCGCGAAATCTTCGAAGGACTGGTTGGCAGTGCCTCTTCTGAGGGAATTAACAATACATTCGTCACGGATCGTGTGGAACTTTTGCTGCGGACATACAAAGGATACAACCTGCATAGTCGCTCAGCCTGCCGGGCTTACCTGGGAGAGAAGTTCAAGCCCGTCCTCGGTGTTCCAACGGACATGTCAAATGAGGAAGCTGGCACTGAGTTCCTTCGTAAGGTTGTATTGCCCCATCTTGGTAACCAGAACGTTAGCGAAACCCAGGACTACGACAAGTTCAAGCTAATCATGTTCATGATCCGGAAACTTTACGCTCTCGTCGCTGGCGACTGTGCCCCTGACAACCCTGATGCCGTCTCTAACCAAGAAATCCTGCTTGGTGGTTTTCTCTACGGTATGATCCTGAAGGAGAGACTGGAGGAGTGGGTCAGATCTTTTGGCCCTATCCTGAGAGACTGGAGCATGCGCAACCACGGCGCGAAGTTCACTGATCCTTCATTCGAGAGGGACTTCTTGAGCAAGGTCGTGAAACGGTCAAATGAGAACATCGGTGGTGCGCTGGAGTACTTCCTATCGACTGGTAACCTCGTCAGTCCTACGGGTCTCGATTTGCAGCAGACATCCGGTTATACTGTCATGGCTGAGAAAATTAACTTCTACCGTTTCATCAGTCATTTCCGAATGATTCACAGAGGTAGTTTCTTCGCACAATTGAAAACTACCACTGTTCGTAAGCTGCTTCCTGAAAGTTGGGGCTTCCTGTGCCCTGTTCACACACCTGATGGATCTCCTTGTGGTCTCCTTAACCATCTTGCACACAAGTGCTTGATTTCCACCAGTGATATCGATGTTTCTCATCTCCCAAGACTCTTGGTCCAGCTCGGTGTGCGCTCGGAGTCTTCTGTCTCATTGGAAGAGAGCGTAACGGTTCAGTTGGATGGTAGAATTGTCGGTTTCTGCTCACCGAAGCAGGCTCGCATGGTCGCTGATACCCTGAGACACTGGAAGGTTGAGGGCAGCCACAATGTTCCTCGAGAGCTGGAGATCGGATACGTCCCTAACTCTAACGGCGGTCAATACCCCGGTATTTACATGTTCTCGCAAGCAGCTAGGATGTACAGAGAGGTTAAGTACTTGCCTCTCGACAAGCTTGACTACGTGGGACCATTCGAGCAGCCCTTCATGGAAATCGCCTGTTTACCATCGGACCTTGTCGCGGGTGTTTCGACGCACATCGAGTTTACACCGACAAACATCCTCTCTATTGTGGCTAACATGACTCCTTTCTCCGATTACAACCAGTCGCCTCGTAACATGTATCAGTGTCAGATGAGCAAGCAGACAATGGGAACGCCCGGAACCGCCATCGATTATCGTACAGACAACAAGCTTTACCGACTGCAAACTGGACAGACACCAATTGTGCGCCCCCCTCTTTATAATGCTTATGGTTTGGATAACTTCCCGAACGGCACGAACGCGGTTGTTGCTATTATCTCGTATACGGGTTATGACATGGACGACGCTATGATTATCAACAAATCTTCACACGAACGTGGATTCGGTCATGGTACAATCTACAAGACAAAGGTCCACACCCTCGATGAAAAGGAGTCGCGAAGGAACAAATCTAGACGTGAAATTACTAAGCTGTTTGGCTTTGCTCCAGGGGGTGAAATTAGGGCCGAGTGGCGTAACACCATCGACGAAGATGGTCTTCCTCACATTGGCGCTAGGGTTAAAGAGGGCAGTCTCGTCGCTGCATACCACAACGTGCGTTATGATGCAGCATCGGACTCCTATGTGAATGTCGATGGCATCACCCACTTCGTCAAGTACAAGGACGCCGAAGAAGGATACATCGACAGCATCCGTATCATGGGTGCCGAGACCGGTATCGAACCGTGCCAATCCCTCAGCGTGAAGTACCGTATCCCAAGAAAGCCTGTTATTGGTGACAAGTTCTCCTCTCGTCACGGACAGAAAGGTGTCTGCTCCCAACTCTGGCCGGCAGTCGACATGCCCTTCTCCGAAAGTGGCATCCAGCCTGACCTTATTATCAACCCTCACGCTTTCCCATCTCGTAAGTCTCCAATTTTTTTTTTTTTTTTTTTTTTTTTTTTTTTTTTTTTTTTTTTTTTTTTTTTTTTTTTTTTTTTTTTATTTTATGACAATAATATTCCTTGACTGACCGATGGACAAAAGGTATGACAATCGCCCAGATGATCGAATCCATGGCGGGCAAGGCTGGTGCTCTTCACGGCCACCCCCAGGACTCGACGCCCTTCCAGTTCTCTGAGGAGAACACCGCCGCCGATTACTTCGGCCACCAACTCCGCAAGGCAGGCTACAACTACTACGGCAACGAACCACTCTACAGTGGTATCACCGGCAAAGAGTTCGCCGCCGATATCTTCATCGGTGTCGTTCACTACCAGCGTCTCCGTCACATGGTTAACGACAAATTCCAAGTCCGTACCACCGGTCCTGTGAACTCCCTGACCGGCCAACCCGTCAAGGGTCGTGCCAAGGGAGGTGGTATCCGTGTCGGTGAGATGGAACGTGACTCCCTCATTGCCCACGGTGCCGCCTTCATCCTCCAAGACCGTCTCATGAACTGCTCTGATACCCAGCGTGCCTGGCTCTGCCGCGACTGCGGCTCCTTCCTCTCAACACAGGTCGCCCTCGCCGGTGGCTCCGGAAAGGCCCGCAACCAGGGCGCCGCCGCCGCCGCCGCAAAGGCTGCCTCTAGCCAGCTTACCCAGGCCAGCGGCTCCTCCGGCATCGTGCGCTGCAGACGCTGCGCCCGCGAAGCTATCTTCGATGACTCCCGCGCGATCACCTGGGAAGACGGCGATGGCCGTCGTTTCGTCGGCGGTGACAACGTTACTGTCGTTGCTGTTCCGGGTGTGCTTCGGTACCTGGATGTTGAGCTTGCTGCCATGGGTATCAGGATGAAGTTCAAGGTGGACAACTAATCGCCCTGCTCAATGCATACTATATCTTGCATCTCAAGAGCAAAGTAAGAAAGCAAAAAAACGATATGAAAG